AATTCAGCTCTTCAGGTGTTTTGGACTTCAACTCTCATAATTCCTAACAGCCTCAGGCTCAAGCATCTGAGCGGGGAAAGGAAGGAGCCTGAGGCTGTTAGGAATTTTGGGAGTTGAAGTCCAAAACACCTGGAAGGCCCATGTTTGCTCATGCCTGGTCTAGACTGGATGAGTGATTACATGCAGCTCCCATCAGCAGTAGTCTGCACAATGGAGACTATGCAGGGAACAGGTCATCCGCATCTGCTGGGCGAAACATTCCCCATCCTTGCCCTGGACCTTGTGACTTTTCTCCCCTGCAGTTCAGCTCAGGCCAAGATCTATTCCAGTTCCTCGAAATCACATTCTTCAGAAAACTGATTCATATCACATGCACACAGGCTCGAGCCTGCTCCTGCATGCAGGCATCTCTGGACACTGGGGGGATGCATCTACGCTGTAGAATTAATGTGGTTTTGCACCATTGTAACTGCTATGAAATTCTGGGAGTTGTAGTTTGTAGGGCTGGGCGGTTTCGTTTCGTTAATTCGTAATTCGTTAATAATTCGTTAATTTTTTCAATTACAAAACGATAACGAACCATTCTGGAGCAATTATAAAAAATGAATTTTCAAAAACGTTTTGTAAATGCTTCGTATTTCGATATTGTATTCGTTTCGTTATTGTTTTGAGGTCGTTTCGTTATTATTTCCGCATGTCTGGGCCAGTTTTATGGTTTAATTAGTGAAAAAAAATTATAATATCACACCAACAGTCAACAACAGAGGGAGAGGGAAGCTTCAGAAGGTTTTGGAGGTTTTTTAGCGTATTTCGCGGTCGCGTCCGCCATTAACGAATCGATTCGTTATTGTTTCGGAAATCGATTCGTTATTTTTTTACCATTTACGAAATTTCGTAAATATCGAACTTTTTAAAAGGAAAATTTTGTAATTATTTTAAATAACGAAATGCAAAAAAACCCCAAAAAACGAATCGATTTTAGAAACAAATTTTTCCGTTGTTACCCAGGCCTAGTAGTTTGATGAGGCACTAGCACTTTTGGAAGAGAGGGGGCTACAGATTTGATAGAACTACAACTTCCATGATACTACAGCATTGAGCCATAATAGAAGCTAAAGTGGTACCAAGATGCATTAATTCTTCAGTGTAGATCGGGCATGAGCAAACTTGGGCCCTCCAGATGTTTTGGACTTCAACTCCCACCATTCCTAACAGCCTCAGGTCCCGTCCTTTTCCCCCTCAGCTGCTTAAGCAGCTGAGGGGGAAAAGGAAGGGACCTGAGGCTGTTAGGAATGGTGGGAGTTGAAGTCCAAAACACTCGAAGGCCCCAAGTTTGTCCATGCCTGGTGCAGATGCACCCTGGACCAGACTTGCGTTCTAATCTTCTTTAGAGTCTAAATCAACTCTACCCTTTTTACACACTGAAAACAGCCTGCAAAAAAAATCTTGCATTCCATATGTTCTTTGTATTCTTTGGAGGCTGATATAATATGTCAGGATGAAAAAAAATCAAATTTCTCAACCATGGCTTAGTGTAAACAAATTCCTGGAGCCAAGCCTCCCTTTCCAACTTTCTGTCCTAGGTTTTGCCATCCTTTGCTGCACAGAGCTTGACTCTATCACAGCCTGTCATCGCATGCAGATACATGTTTGCACTCTTTCTGCTCCATCTCTATTGCAGGGGTCATGAGCTCTGTCCCTCTCATGACACGTGCCGAGAGCTCCTTGTTGCCCACAAGGATGAAGTTGGTTCCTCATTCTCAGTTCCTTATTTTCACCAAACTTCAAAACCCAACCAAATCACCTGGATGATAAGAACATGTGGTTTAATACCCCTGTGCTCCAAAACTTTTTGAAACCCACATGTTGCATACAGTCATTGTTTGAAAGCAAGCCCTTTGAGGATTATAGGAGAAATTCTCTCCACTCAATCAAGCCATGTTTGGAAATTATACACAAAAGGCTGTCAAGAGATGATGATCATGAGAAAGAAACTGCATAAACAGCGGATCACCACAGATTATGTAAACTAAATGTAGGAGAGTGTCATAGAATCATATATTTGGAAGAGACCACATGAGCCATCTACTCTAACCTCCTGCCATGCAGGAAAAGCACAATCAAAGTACCCCTGACAGATGGCCATCCACCCTTTGTTTAAAACAGTGTTTGTCAGCCTGGGGAGGTTGCGAGGGGGGTTTCAGAGGGGTCACCAAAGACCATCAGAAACACACATATTTCTGATCATCTTAGAAACCCCTTTGGCAGAGAAGGCTGAAGATCTCTCTGCCTGTCCTTCCCTTCCTGTTTGGAAACAGACGGCGAATCCTCCCATCAAAAGCCCCCCTCCTGCTCTCTGGATGAAGGTAAACTACAACTCCAAAACTCAAGGTCAATGCCCACCAAACCCTTCCAGTATTTTCTGTTGGTCAGAATGCTCTTTGATTGTAGGTGAACTATAAATCCCAGCAACGACAACTCCCAAATGTCAAGGTCTCTTTTCCCCAAACTACACCAGTGTTCACATTTGGACATATTGAGTATTTGTGCCAAGTTTGGTCCAGATCCATCATTATTTGAGTCCACAGTGTTCTCTGGATGTAGGTCAATGTCCACCAAATGCTTTCCAGTATTTTTTGTTGGTCATGAGAGTGCTGTGTGCCAAGTTTGGTTCAATTCCATCATTGGTGGAGTTTAGAATGCTCTTTGATTGTAGGTGAACTATAAATCCCAGCAACTACAACTCCCAAATGACAAAATCAATCCCCCCCAACCCCATCAGTATTCAAATGTGGGCATTTTGGGTATTTGTGGCAAACTTGGTCCAGTGAATGAAAATACATCCTGCATATCAGATATTTACATTATGATTCATAACAGTAGCAAAACTACAGTTATGAAATAGCAATTAAAATAATGTTATGGTTGGAGGTTACCACAACATGAGGAACTGTATTAAAGGGTTGGATCATTAGGAAGGTGGAAAACCACTGTTTAAAAACTTCCAAGGAAGTGGTTTCCACCACACTCTGAGGCTGAGAGTCCTTTGTGAGATGCCACTCACTTTGGTTTAATCCACTTTGTTCAGAGTATATTGAAACATATCATCCAATGCATTTCATTTCCAAATGGAGATTTGAACCTGGGTCTCCATATTTTAAAATAAGCAGCACCTCCAAGCTAGCCTCTCAAGTCCAGAGGAGGGTCCTGTGTGAGCTCGTCACCATATGCAGGTGGCCCCTTCTGGCAGGCATGCTCAGAGGCTGAGGATGCTTCAACTTCTGAGGATGCCTGCCATAGATGTGAGCGAAACGTGAGAAGAGAATGCTTCTGGAACATAGCCATACAGCCCGGAAAACTCACAGCAACCCACTTCTACTTTGTTGGCCACCCACCTTGTCATCTCACTGGTGGGAAAGAATAGCAGGTGACCCCAAGGCAAGCCCCCCTCCCCACGCCAATGGCTCCTTAGCCGGAAATGGGATCATGACACACTGTGAAGACTCAATAAGTGTGTGCTGAAGAAATAATGTTGTCTGACAACACTTGAGCTGCCACGACTCAAGGCTAAAGACCCTGTGAAACTACAATTCCCATGATTTGATAGCACTGAGCCATGGCAGTTTAAGTGATGTCAAACTGCATGGATTGGATTCTACAGTGTAGATCAGGGATCCTCAAACTTTTTAGACAGAGGGCCAGGTCACAGACCCTCAAACTGTTGGAGGGCTGGATTTTAATTTGAAAAAAAAAACCATGAATGAATTCCTATGCACACTGCACATATCTTATTTCTAGTGCAAAAAAAACCCACTTTAAAACAATATAATAATTAAAATGAAGAACAATTTTAACAAATATAAACTTATCAGTATTTTAATGGGAAGTGTGGGCCTGCTTTTGGCAGGTGAGATAGGATTGTATTGTCGAAGGCTTTCATGGCTGGAATCACTAGGTTCTTGTGGGTTTTTTTGGGCTATAGGGCCATGTTCTAGAGGCATTTCTCCTGACGTTTCGCCTGCATCTATGGCAAGCATCCTCAGAGGTAGTGAGGTTCACTCACTACCTCTGAGGATGCTTGCCATAGATGCAGGCGAAACGTCAGGAGAAATGCCTCTAAACATGGCCCTATAGCCCGAAAAAAACCCACAAGAACCTTGAGATAGGATTGTTGTTGTTGTTGTGTGCTTTCAAGTCATTTCAGACTTAGGTGGACTCTGAGCAAGGGCCGGGTAAATGACCTTGGAGAGCTATATTTGGCCCCCGGGCCATAGTTTGAGGACCCCTGGTGTAGATGCACCCTCACTGGGAGATGCAAGTTGGCAGCATAAACTTTGTTAGATTATGCATGCATCTATAGGCATGGACCAACTTGGGCCCTCTAGATGATTTGGACTTCAATTCCCTCCATTCCTAACAGCCTCAGGATTAAGCAGCTGAGGGGGGAAAGGAAAGGGCCTGAGGCTGTTAGGAATGGTGGGAGTTGAAGTCCAAAACATCTGGTGATGTTTTGGACTGAGGGAGGAAAGGAAAGCGCCTGAGGCTGTCAGGAATGGTGGGAGTTGAAGTCCAAAACATCTGGTGATGTTCTGGACTGAGGAGGAAAGGGAAAGGGCCTGAGGCTGTCAGGAATGGTGGGAATTGAAGTCCAAAACATCTGGAGGTCCCAAGTTGGCCCATGTCTGATCTACTCTGTAGAATTCATAAAGTCTGACCCAGCTGGACTGCCACAGCTGGGTGCAATGGATGCCTGTAGTTAGTAGTTTTGGGTAAGCCCCAGTACTCTTGGGGAGAAAAAAGCTCAAGCCATTGTAAAACCACGAATCCCAGGGTCCCAGAGAAGTGAGTCAGGGCAGTTCAAGTGAATTCTCTCAGAAGCACCAGCAGTTAACTTCCAGCGAGGGGTGGATCTATTCTATACTATCAAACACATGAAGTTGGACACTCCTAAACACTCGTTGGGTTGGAGGCCAACGTGGGGGCAGAAAAGGGACACCCACCTCCGTCTCCACCAGCCGCTCGGTCTCGTCCCGCAATAAAAAGCCCGCTAGACTTCCGGAGAGTTGCTCAAAGGCGACATTGGCAGGAGGCGAGGGGAGGGAGGGAGGGAGGCAGCGATTGGGGCGAGGCGAAGAAAGGAGTCCTCCTCCTCCTCCTCCTCCTCCTCCTCCTCCCTGCTTGGGCTGCTCTCCTCCTCCGCCTCCACTTTCGAGCAAAGTTTCGCTACAGTTCTCTCGGGAAGAAAGCAAGGTGGGGCGATGTTTCTAGGGAAAGGAGGGAGGAAGGGGAACCCCTTGGAACAGTCCTTGCTCTGAAGCCATTTGGGGGGAGGGGGGTTGCCATGCCAGTCAAACCAGGAGTGAGGTCCCAAGTTGTTTCCCAACACTTTTCCTGGACGTGTGCTTTGGAGCTGGACTCTTACTTGGAAGCTAACGCTGGATGCTTCTCTATCCTGTGTAGAATTAACGCAGTTTGGCATCACTCTCACTGCCATGGCTGAACAGTATGGAATACTTGGGAGTTGTAGTTTCACAGGGTCTTTTTAGTCCTCTCCACCAATTATTCCTGGAGCCTCACCAAACTACAACTCTTAGGATTTCATTGCACAGCTCATTCTCCAGTGATCAGGCTTGGGCAAACTTTGGCCCGCCAGGTGTTTTGGACTTCAACTCCCACCATTCCTAACAGCCTAACTGTGGGAGTTGAAGTCCAAAACACCTGGAGCACTGATGTCTGCCCATGCCTGGTGCAGATGCATTTATGGATGACCCCAGCCCTGAGTTTGTAAGATCTCACAGCACTGTGTTTTGGAGGCCTCTCATTCATAACATCGCCAGGGATGCCGCAGTATCTTCAAAGAAACGCAGATTGGGGAATAGTGATGGCAGATGACACCAAATTGGAAGGGATAGCCTTCCAATTGAGTTACAAGTTGGGTAGATGCAGATAATGTCATAGATGTAGCACATCTGGATTTCGGTAGAGCCTTCAAAAAGGTTCCCCATGACCTTCTGGCACACAAACTAGTCAAATGTGTGCTAGGCAAAACTACGGGTTAGGTGGATCTGTAATTGGTTAAGCGAATGAACCCAGAGGGTGCTCAGCAATGCTTCCTCTTCATCCTGGAAAGAAGTGACAAGCGGAGTGCCAGAAGCAGGGTTCCATCCTGGGCCCGGTCCTGTTCAACATCCTTTATTGATGACTTAGATGAAGGGTTAGAAGGCATGATCATCAAGTTTGCAGATAACACCAAATTTGGAGGGAGAGGCAATACTCCAGAAGACAGGAGCAGAATTCAAACAATCTTAACAGATTAGAGAGATGGGCCAAAACCAATAAAATGAAGCTCAACAGGGATAAATGCAAGATACTCCACTTAGGCAGAAAAAATGAAATGCAAAGATACAGAATGGGGGACGACGCCTGGTTCGACAGCAGTACGTGTGAAAAAGATCTTGGAGTCTTTGTGGACAAGTTAAACATGAGCCAACAATGTGATGTGGCAGGCTTAAAAAGCCAATGGGATTGTGGCCTTCATAAATAGTAGTATAGTGTCTAGATCCAGGGAAGTCATGCTATATTCTGCCTTGGTCAGACTACATCTGGAATACAGTGTCCAATTCTGGGCACCTCAATTGAATGGAGATGTTGACAAGCTGGAATGTGTCCAGAGGAGAACAACTAAAATGATCAAGGGTCTGGAGAACAAGCCCTATGAGGAGCGGCTTAAAGAGCTGAGCATYTTTAGCCTGAAGAAGAGAAGYCTGAGAGGAGACATGATGAGGGCCCTGTATAAAGATATGAGGGAAAGTCATAGGGAGGGGGGAGCAGAAGTTGTTTTCTGCCACCCTGGAGYCTAGAATGCAGTACAATGGCTTCAAACTACATGGAAGGAGATTCCACCTGAATATGACAAAGAACTTCCTAACTGTGTGAGCTGTCCAGCAGTGGAACTCTCTGCCCCAGAGTGTGGTGGATTGTGCATTGGTATAAATATTTGTTCCTAACKGTTCAAAGACACAATGAGGTATATCAGTCTAACAACTGAGAAACCTAATTTGTCTTGCATGAATACTAGTGGATATATACCACTAAAGAGAAGATTCATTCAAATGGGTTTTTTAGCTCTTCTCAGGAAGATGATACTTCACAAAAAGYTTATGATTATTCCAAATGGTGTGACTGCCAATTAATTTCCAAAAGGTCATGCTTCCAAAAGGTTATGTGTCCAACAGGCTATGAAGAGTCAGGTCTTCCAAAATGTTATAACCTCAAAGGTCATCCTTTTCCCAAAAGTATTTATTTATTTATTTATTTATTGTGTCAGTAGCAACCAGACAATTGTATTACATTTTTAACAATTTTTTAACAAACAAACAAAACAGAGTTTGCAGGCGTGGTAGTTGATTAAATGTCCTTTGACCAGTATCTGGCCACTTGGAGTGCCTCTGGTGTTGCCACAAGAAGGTTCTCCATTGTGCATGTAGCAAGGCTCAGGTTGCATTGCAGCAGGTGGTCTGTGGTTTGCTCTTCTCCACACTTGCATGTTGTGGATTCCACTTTGTAGCCCCATTTCTTGAGGTTGGCTCTGCATCTCGTGGTGCCAGAGCGCAGTCTGTTCAGCACCTTCCAAGTCGCCCAGTCTTCTGTGTGCCCAAGGGGGAGTCTCTCATTTGATATCAGCCATTGATTGAGGTTCTGGGTTTGAGCCTGCCACTTTTGGACTCTCACTTGCTGAGGTGTTCCAGCAAGTGTCTCTGTAGATCTTAGAAAACTATTTCTTGCTTTCCCAAAAGTTATCACAATAAATACGGTTTACAGGTACTAACATTTCGTTGGACTGTATCCTAGATGTGTGTGCCATGTTTCCTCCAGTAAAACAAGGACATTGTGCATGGGTTTATCAGTTCTGTGAAACTGCCTAAACTGATTGTAACAGCTTGCTCTCAGTGGCTACCTAGAGGACTTTGTGGCTGGACCGAAAACTGAATTTTAGTGTTCCTAGTCCAAAGCTAATAGTCCAATGCACCACACCCACATTGAGGCTGGGTTATCTCAAGGGCTTCAAAGTTGCCAGCACAATAATTTTGCCAATAGGCAGCATTCCAGAATGGCACAGAGGTGTAATTAAACAAGAACGTTGCTCTTTGAATGGTGGGAGTGGGGGTCTGTCAATAAAGGCACTCCCAGCCCTTTTTTATCTGGTCCATGCATTGTACCATATTCCCATTATTTCCACTACGCCCAGAGGAGTTATTCAGCAATTACTCTGATTCTCTTCCCACCAACATTATATAGAGCACCTTCACTACATCAGTTCCTTTATACTTCCTTTATTGTTTTTTGTTTAAGTGTGGAGACCAGATTAGTTCACATGCATTGAAAGAAAAGAACACAAAACAAAACAAAACAGAAACGGCAGCTGTGTGGTAGATAAAATCCTTTACTCTCAATAGCCAAGACAGTATCGAAAGAACCACTGACAAACCTATGACAAACACCACTTTTCAAAAAGGCTTTTGTAAAAAATGCAACTAGAAATCTATTGGAAAAGTTTTTTTTTACTACAGGCCCCAGGATCCTTCAGTCTACATGGCTAATAGACATGTCAGTGTTGGGATTCTGGGAGTTGTAGCTCACCAAAAATAACCTTTCCAAGTTCTCCCAGCAACAAGGGAAGCTGCTTTATATCAGGATGGTTCAAGGATTGTTTATTCATCTGGACTACTGCACTATAAGTCCCGTGCTCTCCACCTATGCTAGCTAGAGTTCATAGGAATTGCAGCCCAACAACATCTGGAGGCCACAAATTGCCCATTTTGATATCTAGGTCAGTCTTAGCATTAGAAAAAGTGAAGCGGTGGCTTCAAGCAGCAGATGCTGGGAGCATCAGCAAAGTGTTAGAGAAGAGTGCTGTGTGTCACCGAAGGCTGTTCTGCATCCTCAAATCCATTCTGCTGCCTTTAGCTATAATACAATGGTACAAATGGTGAAAAAAAGTCCATCAGTAAAAATAGCCTATTGGGTCCTGACCTATTATTCCAAAATGTTGTCTAATGTTCCTCACCAGCACTAGACAGATGAACACTTCTGGCATCTCTCCAACTTTAAATGGCGGAGAGGCCAAGTCCTCATATCAAGTAAGTGATCTGATCAGGATCACACAGAAAGGGTCTTCTTGGGACTCTATAGGATTTATTTTATAACTGGTCTTATATCAATAATTGGGGTTGCATATAACTTTTTTCCTCTAATTTTTAACTACTCTGCTCAAACTAACAACAAAACACGCGATGTTCCCATTCTGACGCAATGAGGCTGCGTATGCAAGATAAGGTACCAGTGATCCGGACGATGCCTTCACCCAGCTGCAAGGCCCTTTATCCCAAGAGTGTGTCAGGCTTAGCTCAAGTAATGCACATTTGTTTCAGACAGATAAGTCCTGTACAACTATTTGATACAGCTGATTAACTAACTTAATCTTTGACTTATATGTATCTATAGCACACAGGGTTTCATAAATTTATATTGCAATAAATACATTTTTCCCAAAATGATCAGCATTCAGAGAGAGAGAAATCCATGCACCAGTCAGCTTAAATTCCCTCTTGCTTCTATAGGAGTTCACTGTACGTAAAGCCAAAAAGTGCATAAAACTGTAGTTGCCATGAAGGAACCATGGCAATATAGGTGGGTGAGAGACAACTGTCCAACAACTCTTTTACACATTCCTTACTAAAGATCCCACAGATGAATATCTGGAGGAACTACACAAATTACTCCACCGACATAAGGAACAAAATTCAAATGGACACAACCTAGGAGCTCAAACCAGGCATCTTCTACTGTACTATCTAAAATATACAATCCAGGAAGACCCATTGCTTCAATTCGAATCCTCACTTTTGGAGAACATGGATATATGGACTAAGTTCTCAGACCATCAACACTTCATGTTATGCGAAGGATACAACTACTTTTCTGAGAAAAATGCAATTTATTCATAGCATTCCAAAGAGTACCATCTCAACCATTACAAATGTGGAATCCAAATATACCAACATCCACAACATGATGGACTACAAATCATCAAGAGTACCATC